GAAAAAGAACTAAAGAGAAAATGCTAGTTTTTGAAGTAAAGCATTGTAAATCAAGCAACTTGTCTGATACTGAGAGCCATTGAATCCAATGGCACTTATTTATGGATAGAAAAGTATAGAATTCTACCGTTAGTCATGTTCTGATATTATTAAGAAGGTTTTCTTTCTTTATTACATTTATATGCTCCCCATAGTCCATAGATATAGAAGGATGTTACCTCTGACATTTAGATCCATGAAATGCTGTTCTGTATATCACCAGAGTTAATCACAAAGTCCATTTGCCCTGGTAAGGAAGCAACTAGGTACAAATAGCAGCCTCCTTTCTGAAACAAATTACAGGGTCTGAGAAAGGGTTTTTTTGTTAGAAAGGACTAAATACAGATTCCCGAATGGTATGCTCTTGATCTAGACTAAGCCCTTGCACAGCTTTTTTTAAAGATTCACAAATCCAGTAGTTCATTTAATATATTGCCTGATTTTGCCTTGTTTTATTCTTACATGTGTAATCAAGAGAGATTAAATATATATAAACTCTAAGCTGTTATAAGGGCCTAAGCTGTTATAAGGGCCAAACTAGACAAAATGTAGGAAATCCATGATCAAATGCATCGGGTTTTTGGTAAAAACTATAATCAGCCTCATGTAGCTGCTTTAAAGTTTGGGCCATTGCAGGAAGTTTAAGTCTTTTCACCTACTAGTAGTCTTTTCTTAATCTAAATCATCTGTCTGCATGTTTTTATTAGGAAGTGAAACTAATATGACTAACAGAAAGAGTTAGATTGGGAAAATGGTAAAATATTTTGAATGATCTACTTTCCCTGTCTTCAAAGTATGAGGCTATTAAATTCAGGTCTTTTTCCTTTTGAAAAGGAAGCTTTCTATAGCTTACTTAGGCCCCATGTCTTCAGGGCTTCATAGCCAAATGCATTGGTTTGTTTCACTTTATAATAGCTCTGGATTCAGATTAACAGAGCAGTCCTAACCCCAAGAACTGCAAGGTGGGTGGGAGACAGGTTAAGGTAGGACAGAAACATCCTCCTCGTTGTGGATAGAAGCTCTTTCAGCAGGGAAATGTGGCTTGTTTAAAAAGGGAAGGGGATGCTTCTAATTTCCTTATGGCTGTGAAAGGAGAAAGGGTGAGGGTGCAGGGCCAACACTTCCCTGGTTCATTCAGGGAACCAGTGTGGTGTAGTGGTTAAGAGTGTGGGATTGGGACTGAGGTGATCTGGGTTCTAGTTTCTGCTCCACCATGGAGCCAACTGAGTCACAGCATTTCTATACTGCCCATAGCCTATATTTATAAGAAAGTATAAAAAACAATAAAATACAATAGATCAAAACATAAGAGTTAAACATTAATTTAAAGTAATATAAAAGGACTTTAAAAGACAATCGAATTTTAAAAGACCCAGCCAAGAGTAACAGAGAGACAGCTGGCTATTGTGGGGATAAGGCTGAGAGCAGGAAGAGGGTAAAGATGTAAGTTGCTTTGAGTTCTTTAAATGAAAAAAGAAGGCAGGATATAAAATAAATAAATAAACTCAAATAGCAGAACCATAGTTTTCTGTTATATCTGCATGGGGCTACAGCTGCTTACTGTGAAAGATGTGAATTCGTGCCTTGTTGACAAATTAGATAGCTTTTTGTTGCATTTTGATACTAGAGTTGTGTGTTCATGCTGAAATTTTACCTAGCTTTGCTTAGGAATGAGAAATGGCTCAGGATTGATTGAATGTATAGTCTTTTGCATGCTGCTTAGCTCTTGTTTGTTATGTGCCCTGGACTGAAATGCCATAAATAACTTATACAGGTTTCACTCATCTGTGCTGTGTTTCTATTTCAAATTCCCAAACAAGACTCGTACTTTTCCAGGAGTTCTGCTTCAAGCTTGGTTACTGCAGGCCCTGAAGTAGCAAACTTTACCATTTAAGAGAACCCATAATGAGCTGCCTCAGTACAGGTTTATGCCATGTCATAAGGATATGTTAAAAATAGACAATGTTGTTGGTATGGTGCAATTGACTGTAAATAGTGATGGTCTGCCATGCTGTGGGCAAACCTGTTCTTTAAAATTTTAGCATGGGAAGGAAGCCAGGCTGTTTTCATTTCTAGGAAGTGCAAATTGTGCTGCCCAATCCTGTTCATGTTTATTCAAAAGTAAGTCTCATTCATTTCAGTGGGACTTTCTCTTAAGTAAGTGAATAGGATGCCACTTTACTAGTTTTTGTTGGGCTCTGTAGTGAATTTGATGGGCTCCAAGTTTCAGCAATAGTCTTCCTATTTTGCTGCATGGGTTTAAGATCAACCAAGACTGTCTTCTTTAATATCCTTCCACTATTTTTCACCCCACGGTCAGTTTGAAAAGCACTCACGGCACTTCTTCAAATGACTTAGCACAACCTGAATCATGCAGTCCTGCACAAGCATATCTGTAGGCTTTAGACTACTATGTTTTATATTGCATTACTCTTTGATTTTGTAGCTGTATGCTACAAAATTTTGTACAGCATGCAATTCTGAAAGTCTGCCTGACCGCTGCACTCCAAGGCATCAAGACCACTATTTCATCTATTAAGTGGGAACTGCAGCAAAACTGCCATGTGGAATGCTGCTTTTTTGCTCTCCCCTATCACTGTTACGTTTTTTGTAATATCAGCCACAGATTTGTTAATGAAATATTTAACTATGTTTTAAGCAATTTGTGTAATTCATGTCTGCTCAGAAGTTTGCCCTATAGAATTCCCTGGAATTTACTCCTGGGTAAAGGTATATAGAATTGTAAATTTAAACATTTTAAATAATGGAATTATCATTACAAATTATATGTAATATTTCCTTGCTGTTATGTGCTCAAAATGTATTGTATAAAGTTTTATGATCTTGTCGCATGTTGTTATGTTTTTCTGTGCAATAAAATGCAAGATAAAATTAACTTACACAAATGTCTAATTATATGGGTCAGTAGCCTTTCTGTATTCTGTCATTTGCCATTTTTCTTCACCCAGTATTAATTGATTGTAAAAAATGTTTGTTCAGGCAACAAATACTTAAGTGACATCTTTTTCTAGTTAATCCATTGTTGCCCCTAAACTTTGTATTCAGGTGAACAGTCTTTTCCTCATATTCCTAATACAGTGATGGATCATGTTGTGACACAGTGTCCATTTATATCAATCATTTCCTCTTATGTGCCTTTTGAAACTCTGTTGAGGTCGTTGGGAAAACTAATCTAATTGTACTACCAAGATTGGTGTGTGTTGAGTTTTATGAAAAGTGATAGGAATGAGATTCCCTTGATACAAATGGGAGGTCTGGCTACTGGGGCTTCCCTGTTGAGCAAAATATTTAGATTATAAAACGTTACTAGGGAAAACTAATCAACCGAGCTACTTCTTAACAGATGGGTTAGAGAAAATATTTTTTCTCTTCTGGAAGTCTTTTTTTTTGTTTTGTTTTGTTTTCCCCCTCTACTGGAAAGCTGTTCCCCAACATCTCCTCTTGAATTTCAATATCCGTAGAAAATACTTTCAGTATACAGAGTTTTTTGAAAAATCGCTGTACTCCAATCAGGTCCACAAATCTTTTATTTTACAATTTTTACGAATTTACTGAAATTGTTTTCACTTCTCTATAATACTTAAAATTATTTATCTGGGATTCTGAATGTTGTACAAGCTGTAGCATTATGCTTAGAGCATTTGGAGTTATTTCAGTTTATGTCTTTAGGATTTACTGTCAACAGTTATTTTGTATTTCTTCTTCGTGCATTTAAAAAGATTCAAAAGTTCAGGAAATAATTAAAATATGATTTTGAAAAATGTATCAGCAAAGAAAATGCCACATCTTAGTTGACTTATTCCTCAAGATACATTATGGACAAAAAAAAAATTGTAGCTCTGTGTTGAAAGTGTAACTTCATCCATTATGTTAGGATTCTAACAATAAAATTGAAGTAGAACAAGACTTGACATACCTGTTTTATTTATGGGGGTCTGCATCTTGGCTCTAAAACTTAAATATTGGAGTACAACCTTAAATCTTTTCATACTAAGGTACAATATACTTATGTATGTTTTAAAATTCTTAGTCTGGAAGCTATCAAACTTCCTTTTTCCTGCTACTGTATACTTGAGTCAATCACTCTGGTTTTCATTGAAAAATGAACAGACAGTTTATGAAATCATGTGGCCCTTTCTAAGATCAGAAATCCTAAGAAGGCCCATGCTACCTCAGACCAAGGTCCCATCTAGTTGAGCATTCTGTTCACACATTGACAAATCAGCTTTTTGTGAGAAACTGCAGATACATCTTTGTTTTTTAGCAGGCATTAACCAAATGTAGATTTTACTGAATCTGCTTTCAATATTAATTCCAGAGTTTCAGAATGCTGTTAATTGAATTTGCAATTTACACTTCAAACATGCTTCAAAATACCAGATCTGGTTTTTCCTGCTCGAAGATTAGAAGACTGTTAAAAGGCTTGAGGTTATCTAGGAAAGAAAAGTCATATTTTAAAAACTTTGCTTGAAGTTTCAGGGTAGTTAAAAAAATCTGGCTAATCTATATACTGTGCAGCAACTCAAGATATGCACAAATGAATTAGGCAGAAGTAGAAAGGCAAAGACTGGGGTCAGCTTTAATTATTATACTTAAAGCTACTAACATCATAGTTGCACAATATAAACACTCTTTTAAATTACAGTTTGAATATTGTTGCATCTATCACCTGTTATTCACTTGTACTTACTGAACCAAGTTTCTGACATTGGGGGTTGGGTGAAGCTGATAAGACCTGTGTTGTTTTCACCCCTGCTGAAATTAATTTGGAGAGAAATTCATTGCATTTTTTTCCCCGAAAGCTTTGCTGTTACTGGACTTCCAATAGTTCAAGTGAAAACCAGACAGACCAATTCCTTTCTAAGGGCCTAGTACTTGTAGAGGCCAACTCAGCAGAGGTAAATAAACTCATTCCTCTTCATTTTGTCATCTTTTCACAGTTAATCTGTTGGATTCAAAAGCAATTCAAGGAGAACTGGGCTGGATCTCTTATCCATCACATGGGGTGAGTTCATTATACTGTAAAAGAGGGAAGTGTTATTATAGATCAATGTGCTATTTAACCATTTTCTTCTTCAGAGAACACAAACTCACTAGAATTTCTGAGTCATGTGGTGTTTTTAAAAATACATTCTTGTGCTCCATATTTGCATATGGTCAATCATTCAAGTATTATTCAAGTGTGGCAAATGCCACTTTCAACACTCAAGAAAAAGTTATTACTGCCATTAAAGGACTTATTGTTTACTTAGTAAAACACACTGGGAGTTTCATATTTGAAAACATTTTATGTTTAAAATTAAGTATTTAACAAATTTATTACCACAAGATATCACAATCACCACTGGCTTATATGAATTTTAAAAAAGACATAGATATTCAGAAAGGCTAGCTCTATCAGTAGAAGAATCTCCAAGGAATACCTGATATTGAGGTCATTTAGAGTGAGGGAAAGCAGTGTCTTGCAAGCATCCTAGAGATGTTTCATTGGATTCTTGATGGGCAATGAAGGACAGCTCCTAGTACTACCAATCAATACCCTTTGTGAGACTATTCCATCTTTCAGTTGTTAATAGACTCTTTGGTGAATAGACAAAAGACAGAAGAAGCAGTCAGAAAACACAGCAAGTTATAAGGGGAAGAAGACATTGCCAGAACTCCTTGTACGATGCTTTGATGAGGCACTAGTTGCGCATTAGCAGTCTTGCCTGGAAACATCCCTAGACTTAGGGGCATGTTATCTCAGAGAAGGCTGGCTGTCAAGCCTTTCCTCTATAGTGTGATTAAGCTTTTCAGTTTTTATATGTGGTCAAGAACATATTTCATGGAGCTGAAAACTGGCTGAAACTTTTAGTTGGTTGAAACTATGCACATGCAATCTTCTCATGAGACTGGACCGTTTCAGAATGCACTTGGAATGATTACTTGTAGATTTTTTGGCTTACAGTTTGCCCTGTATCATTGGCTAGGTCTGATCAGGGCTATGGGTCAAAACAGCTTAAGAACCATATTTGATTCTAATATGAGGGTATCTTAAGGTGGTAAGGTATACTAAGAAAACAATTTCTGCCCTGCTTTTACATCAAAACCTGAACTATTTTAGTGACTGCAGGCAAGAATTGTTGTACTTGATCATCTTCCTTAGGATTTTATTGTATCATACATTTTAGTTTCTTTGAATATTTTTGTTTCTGGTTTACTTCTTACAGTTTTTGACAGCAAAGGAACACTGCGTCTTTCTGGTTATTTTCAGTCTATACTGGGACATATTATTCATCTTGCCTGGAAAGGCAATGCCATGTAGTGAGTAAGATTCTTCTGTGATATAAAGTAGGTGACTAAAATGGCAGTGAGATGACTAGTAGGTGCTGATGAGTGAAATGTTACATAAATTATAAAACATTTTATGTAATATTTTGTTGAAGATGCCAGAAAATATCTTTATGGAAACCATATCCCGTGACTCTGTTTGATGTAATATGTTTTAAGCAGGTTGGATGCCATCTGTTTTAGTGAAGCAAGAATGCTGATTGCTAACACTCCTTAGAAAACAGGCAAAGAAACTATTAGCAAAAATTTGGTGTTTTTCAAACTGTATTCATTCAGCTATAAAAGTTAGACTGAAAATAAATCTGTGTAGTAACATGTTTGATGCCATTCTATGGGTTGATTAATCTGTCAGTTTGAGTTTTTTATCCACACTGAGACTTTTCAAAATCCCAAATTCTTTCCATCCCAATATGAAGAAATTTGTTATTTCTTGAAAATGTGTATCAAAAAAGAGCTGAAATAAAAATTTCAGCCATCCCAATATTTTTCTGTATGATAAACTCCAGTACAACTCATGATAGTATAATCTCCCAAAACCAAATCAAGGGTGCGGTGCCCAAGAAGTCTACTTCTTCAACAGGTTTGGTTTGAGAAATGCCTTGTGCCATTTTCTTAAGTCCCTAGATTTTCTCTGGCTTGAATAAAAATCAATAGAATGATGTGTCATTTTTTGTTCCCAATTTTTCCTGGTTTTCATTCCCACTAGTGCAATGTGTTTAGAGCTGATATATTGCCAGCATTGGTTACTGCTCTGCAAAAGTATTATGGAAACATGAGGAATAAATCTGACATCCATTTTGCCTCCTGAAATTACAGATAAACATGCTGCTTACATATGCTCATGTGTCTAGGAGGATAGTCAGGTCTATGGCTATCCCTACTGAAAACTAGAATGCAGCTTAATCTTATGCAAGTATAAGAGTTAATCTCACTAAGTGGAATATTGTTGCCAAGTAACTGAGCACAGGATTTTACACTCAGTGAGTTATTAAAACATCTGGCCCAGTTAAGGGAAGCTAGCATATCTTAACCAAGAACTGAAGGGCCTTTCTGGAGTCCATTCATTCTCATCAGAAAGTTATTATAATAGGGATATCTGAAAAATGGGTTTCCATTCCGTTGAGAATTTAGAATGACCTGTTATGTCTTTAAAATCTCACCTCATAGAGGTTCCAAGAGGACAGAAGGCTGGTTGTTCGTGACTGGCTTCATGGCTTTGTAGTGAACTGAAATTGCCACACACGTCAAAGTCCCAAAGATTTGCAGGAGCATTACAATACTTCTTCTATGGTGCATGTATGAGGTGGATGGATATAGGTTACAGATGATAGCATCTTACAAGGGGTTAGTAGTAGTATGGACTGAGTTGTTAAGTGCCCACTGCAGGTTGTTATGTAAATTCACACAAAGTGTTGTTGACCATGCAGTGGCCCAAGAGTTATATTTCCAGTTTCAGCTGATAAGAACTTTGGAAGCAGGACACTGAAAAGATCCAGCTTGGTATATGTTCAGGGTAGCCATAGTGTCTGTTCTTTGGCACCATCTAACGAACAGCTTGTGAATCCCACCTAGCATTGGTAGAGATTTCTCTGTAATATCTTTGGTTCCCTCAGAACTCCTGTCTCTGGTGTGAAGACCTGGTGTGCCATCTCCTCCTATCTGGGTGGTATGCTAGAAGGCTACCAAAGGGTTAGAAGCATTCAGTGAACATATCAGTAGATTTCAATAGACATTACCTCTTTCCAAAGGAGTAGTGTCCAACTGAAAGCTTAACAATTCATCAAATTACATGATTCTTTGGGAGAAATCATGACGGTAAAACTTGATATATGCTTTTAGTGGGAAAAAACGAAATGAAAAATCTTTCAGTTTAGATAGGACTTTTCTGAGACAGGCAAATGGGAGCAGGGGAAAAGGACTAAATTGTTTTAATATTTCCTTATTAATGTTTAATTATTTTTAGAAGTGGATATGGGAACTAAGTAGTATATTTTCCTTGTAGCGATTTCCATGCTACCAAAGGAGACTAATCTCCTGCATTTTTCCAGTTTGGTAATCTCTGAATGAATATGGGAGTTATTTGCAGAGTCTTAGTTTTGATCTTCTGGCAGGCATTTTGCTCTGCTCTCTTGCTCTGTTGGTCTCTGCTGAGGCTCTCTTGCCTCAGATGCCTGAAGCAGCTGGTGCAGACTTAATGCAGAGCATCATGAGTGTTATAAGAAACAGGTGTGACATATTAAGCCATTAAAAAGACCCATGAAGCAATTTGGCTAGGTTTTAGAAGCCTACGTTGATTTGGGTAAGTTGTAGCTTTACATGCTTCTCTGATCTACCTATTCTCATTCTTTGGTGAACAGAATCTGAACCCATTCTGATGCTGTTATAGAATAACAAGCTGTGGTATATTGAATAAACTTTGTTTAAACCAGGTTTTGTCATATGGCAATAAGGGAAAAATGGGTGCTTCCTGTTCTTACCAATTTTTTAAGAAAATCTGCATAGTTTTTAACAAAGCTGAATACTCTGGCATTTTTAAAATTTAAGCGCAGAATTGTTCTTACACATATGATTTCTTAAATAATTGTGCTGCAGAAGGAAGCACTGTTAAAGAAGTGAAAAGAGGTATGCAAGAAAGACAATATTTTCATAATGTTTTAGTTCTACTATATTAATTAAAACTCTAAGGAATCTGTATCTGTCTGAAACCTAGCTAAAATATGAACTTAAACTTCAGAAGGAAAGCATTATAATAAAGATGTCACATCATATTGAAACATTGCTAATAGCGCTAAGGTGATTTACAAGCCAAAGTTAATAGAGCTACACTTGAAACTGTGACTCACAAATGAGGGTGTTGGTATGATGCCAGCCAAGTTCCAAGACAAAGCAATATATTCCCATCACAACTCATAAGTGCCAATATGCTGAGCAAGGTTACTTTATAAGTAAAATAAAAGCCTTTTCTTTTTCCTTCCTGTAGAAGGCATTAAGTGAAGGGGGCTCCGTTTCATTTCTTTGTACGAGCTATGTATCGGGGTTAATTCTGGAGTGTACATGTACGCACATGGAAGGAAGTGGTATTTTTGTTCAGCTACTTCAAAATGCTTTAGATATTTTTCAGTGCAGCTAAACAAAATATTCTGAAATATTTCTTTTCTGACTTTATCTCATCTGTATTCACAGAATTGTGTTCCAGTTGACATGTGCATGATGTCATTGTTTTAACCCTGGATTCAATATTATCATCGCCCTCAAAGAATCTCATAGTTTCATCTCCTCCCACCCACATTTTTTATAATGTTAGCATTTATAATACAATGATCATCTGGTCAAGCTCATTCAAACCTTTTGGGAGATTGGGCCCCTCCAGAAAGCAGAGCAATGCAACTATTTTTTTAAAAAGTGCAGTAACTACATTTATGTCTGCTTGATTGCAAAGTCCACAGAGATAATATCCTGCACCAACACCTGCATTTTTGCGCTGTCAATCAATCAAATTTGTGAAAGGGTCTGGGAAATGAGAGCCACTTAGTCTTTGCTGAGCATATTATTGATATGCTGATTTAGCACAACGCAACTGATTATTAACTGCAATTCACATAAATTGCAGCCGTACAGATGTGGAATGGCAAGGGGGAAGGCATGCCAGTTTAATCCATAATACAGAATGGAACA